TTAACCTTGACTTTTAATACAAAACTTTAAAATTATTAGTCAGGGTCAAAATGAGATCTTGCGGGGAGGGGGGACACACTGAATCCATACAAGGGAAATGTGATTACTGAGTATTTTAAGATCTTTACTAAAAATAGTAATCATGGGAATTCACATAATTATCTTATATCTTAAGCAGCATGGATAACAATAAAAAAAAGTCAAACTCCTTCATTATAAGAAATGAAACATTATATTAAAATGAGCTTAAAAGTGAACAACTATACATATTCTTCTAAATTAAAAAAATGCTGTATGTGGACCCCTAAAATATCTTCATTTATTTCATTTATTAAACTGCTGCTTTCATAGTAAAGGGTATGTTTCTGCAAGTGTAAACTGCTAGAAGTAGAAGACATCTCTTGAATTAGTGGTAGCTATTATACAATGAGGAAAAAAAATTACTTTGAAAATGCATAAAAAGGAATCTTTCTTTTGTATATGTCTTTCATCATGTATAAAAATGACCATAAACTTGTACTTTGAATAAATAAATCTCATTAGAATGTTTGTAGCTTCTCATAAGAAACTTTAAATCTGAAACATATTGTGAATAATAAGAAAATCAAGGTGTATTCTCTAAATATGTTTCTTTTATTTATATTTACTGAATGATGAAAATGAGAGAAATTGATTGCATGGATCAAAGTTCTGTTGGCCATAACAACTGATCTGCCATGTTGAGACTGACCAGCAAGTTTTATTCATACACAAGATACTTAAGGAACTTCAAGTTAATTTTGTCTTTACAGTATCCTTGACAAAGACAGGACAGGCAATTCCTACCTCAATTTTAGAGTACAAGGTTACAATGATTGGCTAAATATTTCCAGAAATTTCTTTTTACAGAAATGGGACCAACAACATGGTGCCCTTGGACCTATTTTCTTACACATTAAAGAATGACATCCAATTGGAATTATGTAGCTTCTTAAGACTAAGAGATGTTTTAGAATTTTAGCCACAATTACAAGAGGCAGAATTTAATCAGAGACCATACTCTGCAGAAAGTTCTTAAATGTTCTTACCTTAAATTTGACAAAGAAGCAGAATTATCAGAAAATACTTCTTGAATAGCCTAGTAACAAACAATATGGTAAAGGAGATATATAACTTTGACAGTTTTAAAAAGATATCTTTTCTAGCTTAATTAATATAGACAGCCTCCTCTCCCCATTGGTAAAACAGATGTTTCTGTTAAGTGGGGGAAAAATCAATTATATTAACATTCAATTTTACCCAGAAACATAACAGCTATAAAAACATTTATTTATAGGGTAAATATTTTTCAAATAATATTTACTCAGTATCAGGACTTTCAGGAAAGTAGTTATTAAAACATAGTATATATTTGGGATCATGTTACCCCGTCTCAATTATTTCTCTTAACTATGTAATGTTAGTTAGTCTTCTCATTATTTAAGCAATTCTAAATGACTATTAAGTCAGCAGTGCTGTTTTTAGAGCAGAGAATGTTTCGCTAGCCACCAAACACTGTGACATTCATCTATATGTCAGTTATCTATACATCTCTTAAAAATTAACATAATATAAGAGAAAAACTTACCTCTACAAAATGAAGAAGCTTTTCAGTGGATGCCTCAAAAGTTTTTCGAGCCATTTCTGATTTTCGCAATTGGCAGTCAAGTACTGTGATTCTCTTTCTTAAATCCTGAATACTTTCCTGGAGAGATATATCAAAAGGAACATCTTACTCATTCTTTTGACTTTATATTACTGTATTCCATTTTCAGTTGTTGTCATATCATTTATTTTCTCTCTTACTATACATATCTTTTGATTTTGGGGGCATGTAATTAACTGCTTATTTAAAAGTTAATTTGCCCAGGGATAATGCAAGTTTTAAGAGATAAGCTGTATATGACTTTATTAATTTTTATAGTAAAATACATTTAAATTAGTTTCTGAATTTTTTTGGCAACATGTCTTATCAGATACTGACAGAAACCCCTACCAGTGCAGCACAACTAAAAATGCTACAAATACACACACACATACACACAAACACACACACACACACATATAATGTAACAGAATCCAATGTAAGGCTGAGCTGGCAGGGAGGTTAAGGAATTCCAGAGACCAGGAATAGCAACGCCAAGTGAACCCACTGGGGTAAGAGAGCATTGAAACATAACTTGTTCTGAGGTTATATGCTGAGCCCTGGTGGCTACAGTTTGGGGTTTCATCAGGCATAAATGGCAAATGGAAGAATTTCAATGGGTGAACTGGGAAAAAACAAACTTCACAGAAGTAAACAGTGTTTTGATTTTGGCTCTGGTGTATAAGTAAAACAGTGTCTTCTGAATAATTCCTAACCACAAGCCCCTACTCATGCAGGTTTGGGGCCAGAATTTATATTGCCTGTGTAGCCTGAAAATCCATAAACTAAAAATTTAGTTTAAATTGGTTCCAGGGTTAGTAGAAGCAAACACAAAACTACTCTGCAGGGATATTTTTTAAACTCAGATCTCAAAGAATTCCCATATGTGTCAAAAGAACATGACCTCACAACGACAAAAAAAATCACTAAACATACGAGGAAAAAAGCTCCATGAATGAAAGGCAACTGAAGAAAACAAGTTATATATCAGACCTGTAAAGACAACAGATATTGGAGTGATCAGATGCAGAATATGAAGTACTTATGTTTAATATGTTTTTAAAATTAAGAGGGAATTGAAAGTATAATAAAGGGACAAGAAACTATCAAAATATATCCAGATAATATAAACAAATCAATCTCAAAAATAAAAATATAATTATAATTAAATTAGAAACTTGGGGGCCGGCCCGGTGGTGCACTGCTACAGTGCGCCGCTTGGGAAGCGCGGTGGCGCTCCCGCCGAGGGTTCGGATCCCACATACAGACCGGTTCCCGCTCACTGGCTGAGTGAGGTGTGGGTGCGACACCGAGGGTTGCGGTCCCGTTGCCGGTCCCGGTCCGGTACGGGCGCGACACTGAGGGTTGCGATCCATTGCCGGACACGAAAAAAGACAAAAAGGGAAAAAAAAAAAAAATTAGAAACTTGGGGGCCGGCCCGGTGGTGCACTGCGGTGGTGCACCGCTGGGGAAGCGCGGTGGCGCTCCCGCCGAGGGTTCGGATCCCACATACAGACCGGTTCCCGCTCACTGGCTGAGTGAGGTGTGGGTGCGACACCGAGGGTTGCGGTCCCGTTGCCGGTCCCGGTCCGGTACGGGCGCGACACTGAGGGTTGCGATCCATTGCCGGACACGAAAAAAGACAAAAAGGGAAAAAAAAAAAAAATTAGAAACTTGGTTCATGGGTTTAACATCTGATTAGATGCAGTTAAAAAAAGAACAGGTGAACTGGAAGACAGAAGTTAAAAAACTTCTCATAATGGAGTGTAGAGAAAAATATAACTTTAACATGTGCAATTTGCTTCTGTACTAATGTTTGCTAAAAACGAGAAAACATAACTAATGCCATTTTAAGTAAAGCAGCTTTTAAGGGGTTATGTAGAGGCCAGGCACAGTCAAGGCAGGCCCAGGCACGCTAAATTCCAGGAAGAGAGTAATCACCATCCGGTTCCAGGAACTGGCCAGTTCCTTATCTAGAGGCCGCCTGGCCAGACCACAAGGAAGATAAACAATTGGGAAATATACTGTTCCTTATTGGGGTGCCAGCCGCTAAGCCCACCAATAAATCTAAAGGTCGCCTCAGATAACCCGCAAGCA